TTACACAGTAAAGCTTGACTGTCAGATGTAATCTTACACAGTAAAGCTTGACTGTCAGATGTAATCTAAAACAGTAAAGCTTGACTGTCAGATGTAATCTTACACAGTAAAGCTTGACTGTCAGATGTAATCTTACACAGTAAAGCTTGACTGTCAGATGTAACCTTACACAGTAAAGTTTGACTGTCAGATGTAACCTTACACAGTAAAGTTTGACTGTCAGATGTAATCTTACACAGTAAAGCTTGACTGTCAGATGTAACCTTACACAGTAAAGCTTGACTGTCAGATGTAACCTTACACAGTAAAGTTTGACTGTCAGATGTAACCTTACACAGTAAAGTTTGACTGTCAGATGTAATCTTACACAGTAAAGCTTGACTGTCAGATGTAACCTTACACAGTAAAGCTTGACTGTCAGATGTAACCTTACACAGTAAAGCTTGACTGTCAGATGTAACCTTACACAGTAAAGCTTGACTGTCAGATGTAACCTTACACAGTAAACTTGACTGTCAGATGTAATCTTACACAGTAAAGCTTGACTGTCAGATGTAACCTTACACAGTAAAGCTTGACTGTCAGATGTAACCTTACACAGTAAAGTTTGACTGTCAGATGTAATCTTACACAGTAAAGCTTGACTGTCAGATGTAACCTTACACAGTAAAGCTTGACTGTCAGATGTAACCTTACACAGTAAAGTTTGACTGTCAGATGTAACCTTACACAGTAAAGTTTGACTGTCAGATGTAATCTTACACATAAAGCTTGACTGTCAGATGTAACCTTACACAGTAAAGATTGACTGTCAGATGTAACCTTACACAGTAAAGCTTGACTGTCAGATGTAACCTTACACAGTAAAGTTTGACAACAGATGTAATCTTACACAGTACAGCTTGACTGTCAGATGTAACCTTACACAGTAAAGCTTGACTGTCAGATGTAACCTTACACAGTAAAGCTTGACTGTCAGATGTAACCTTACACAGTAAAGCTTGACTGTCAGATGTAACCTTACACAGTAAAGCTTGACTGTCAGATGTAATCTTACACAGTAAAGCTTGACTGTCAGATGTAACCTTACACAGTAAAGCTTGACTGTCAGATGTAACCTTACACAGTAAAGTTTTGACTGTCAGATGTAATCTTACACAGTAAAGCTTGACTGTCAGATGTAACCTTACACAGTAAAGCTTGACTGTCAGATGTAACCTTACACAGTAAAGCTTGACTGTCAGATGTAATCTTACAGAGTAAAGTTTGACTGTCAGATGTAATCTTACACAGTAAAGCTTGACTGTCAGATGTAACCTTACACAGTAAAGCTTGACTGTCAGATGTAATCTTACACAGTAAAGCTTGACTGTCAGATGTAACCTTACACAGAAAGCTTGACTGTCAGATGTAACCTTACACAGTAAAGTTTGACTGTCAGATGTAATCTTACACAGTAAAGCTTGACTGTCAGATGTAACCTTACACAGTAAAGCTTGACTGTCAGATGTAACCTTACACAGTAAAGCTTGACTGTCAGATGTAATCTTACACAGTAAAGTTTGACTGTCAGATGTAATCTTACACAGTAAAGCTTGACTGTCAGATGTAACCTTACACAGTAAAGCTTGACTGTCAGATGTAATATTACACAGTAAAGCTTGACTGTCAGATGTAATCTTACACAGTAAAGCTTGACTGTCAGATGTAATCTTACACAGTAAAGCTTGACTGTCAGATGTAACCTTACATAGTAAACCTTGACTGTCAGATGTAACCTTACATAGTAAACCTTGACTGTCAGATGTAACCTTACACAGTAAAGCTTGACTGTCAGATGTAACCTTACACAGTAAAGCTTGACTGTCAGATGTAATCTTACACAGTAAAGCTTGACTGTCAGATGTAATCTTACACAGTAAAGCTTGACTGTCAGATGTAATCTTACACAATAAAGCTTTACTGTCAGAAGTAATCTTACACAGTAAAGCTTGACTGTCAGATGTAACCTTACATAGTAAACTTTGACTGTCAGATGTAATTTTACATAGTAAACCTTGACTGTCATATGTAACCTTACATAGTAAACTTTGACTGTCAGATGTAACCTTACATAGTAAACTTTGACTGTCAGATGTAACCTTACACAGTAAAGCTTGACTGTCAGGTGTAACCTTACATAGTAAACCTTGACTGTCAGATGTAACCTTACACAGTAAAGCTTGACTGTCAGATGTAACCTTACACAGTAAAGCTTGACTGTCAGGTGTAACCTTACATAGTAAACCTTGACTGTCAGATGTAATCTTAAACAGTAAACCTTGATTGTCAGATGTAACCTTACACAGTAAAGCTTGACTGTCAGGTGTAACCTTACATAGTAAAGCTTGACTGTCAGATGTAACCTTACACAGTAAAGCTTGACTGTCAGATGTAACCTTACACAGTAAAGCTTGACTGTCAGGTGTAACCTTACATAGTAAACCTTGACTGTCAGATGTAATCTTACACAGTAAACCTTGACTGTCAGATGTAACCTTACACAGTAAAGCTTGACTGTCAGGTGTAACCTTACATAGTAAGCCTTGAATGTCAGATGTAACCTTACATAGTAAACTTTGACTGTCAGATGTAATTTTACATAGTAAACCTTGACTGTCATATGTAACCTTACATAGTAAACTTTGACTGTCAGATGTAACCTTACATAGTAAACTTTGACTGTCAGATGTAACCTTACACAGTAAAGCTTGACTGTCAGGTGTAACCTTACATAGTAAACCTTGACTGTCAGATGTAACCTTACACAGTAAAGCTTGACTGTCAGATGTAACCTTACACAGTAAAGCTTGACTGTCAGGTGTAACCTTACATAGTAAACCTTGACTGTCAGATGTAATCTTACACAGTAAACCTTGATTGTCAGATGTAACCTTACACAGTAAAGCTTGACTGTCAGGTGTAACCTTACATAGTAAAGCTTGACTGTCAGATGTAACCTTACACAGTAAAGCTTGACTGTCAGATGTAACCTTACACAGTAAAGCTTGACTGTCAGGTGTAACCTTACATAGTAAACCTTGACTGTCAGATGTAATCTTACACAGTAAACCTTGACTGTCAGATGTAACCTTACACAGTAAAGCTTGACTGTCAGGTGTAACCTTACATAGTAAACCTTGACTGTCAGATGTAACCTTACATAGTAAACTTTGACTGTCAGATGTAATTTTACATAGTAAACCTTGACTGTCAGATGTAATCTTACATAGTAAAGCTTGACTATCAGATGTAATATTACATAGTAAAGCTTGACTGTCAGATGTAACCTTACACAGTAAAGCTTGACTGTCAGATGTAATCTTACATAGTAAAGCTTGACTGTCAGATGAAATATTACATAGTAAAGCTTGACTGTCAGATGTAATCTTACATAGCAAAGCTTGACTGTCAGATGAAATATTACATAGTAAAGCTTGACTGTCAGATGTAATCTTACACAGTAAAGCTTGACTGTCAGATGTAATCTTACATATTAAACCTTGACTGTCAGATGTAATCTTACACAGTAAAGCTTGACTGTCAGATGTAATCTTACATAGTAAAGCTTGACTGTCAGATGTAATCTTACACAGTAAAGCTTGACTGTCAGATGTAATCGTACACAGTAAACCTTGACTGTCAGATGTAATTTTACACAGTAAAGCTTGACTGTCAGATGTAATCTTACATAGTAAACCTTGACTGTCAGATGTAATCTTACACAGTAAAGTTTGACTGTCAGATGTAATCTTACATAGTAAAGCTTGACTGTCAGATGTAATCTTACATAGTAAAGCTTGACTGTCAGATGTAATCTTACACAGTAAAGTTTGACTTTCAGATGTAATCTTACATAGTAAACCTTGACTGTCAGATGTAATCTTATACAGTAAGTTTGCCCTGTCAGATGTAATCTTATACAGTAAAGCTTGACTGTCAGATGTAATCTTACACAGTAAAGCTTGACTGTCAGATGTAATCTTACACAGTAAAGCTTGACTGTCAGATGTAATCTTACACAGTAAAGCTTGACTGTCAGATATATAATCTATTATTATTATTATTATTATTATTATTATTATTATTATTATTATTAATTATTAATATTATTATTATTATTATTATTATTATTATTATTATTATTATTATTTGGCAGTAAATTTTTGAAGAAAAAAAAAATCACACGTACACATTCACCCAAAACAAAATTTTCATATTCTATTTCCACCTGAGCTAATTTTAATAGATTATAAAATGAAACACAGTTAATTTACCTTTTTTTTTTTAAAGAATTTTGAGTGCAGATTATTGATGTGTTTATTTTTAAGCTTTATTATTAATATACCAACATTACATATTTAGTATCAAGCATTCTTCTCTTCTACAATTTAAAATACTAGTTTTTACTCTGCGTTTATAAATGATTCAATGGATGATAACATCACAAAAAAAATACTTCTACACTAACTACTGAATATCTAATACTCTGTACTGTACAGAGAAGTCTACGGTGTTGTCTCGTGCTTGTGACGACCCTTGTGTCCGTCTTCATATATTTGTGCTGTGTTCCTGTAGGCTGCTTAATACCAAGCCATATCTACAGACGTGCACTTAACTAAGAAAAAAATACGTGCGATAAGGGATTAATGCTTTACAGACTAAATGGCCAGTACGGCCTAGGTGTCTAGGTGGACTAAGTAGCTAGTAGGCCTAGGTGTCTAGGTGGACTAAGTAGCCAGTAGGCCTAGGTGTCTAAGTAGACTAAGTAGCCAGTAGGCGTAGATGTCTAGGTAGACTGTGACCAGTAGGCTAAGGTGTTTAGATAGACTAATTGGCCAGTATGGCTTAGGTGTCTACTGCGCAGCTGTTGAGCTTCGTCTCAGAGCTCACCAACAACACAATGCAGCGTGCCGAGCGTCTTGCTAAGAATGTGTCTAAATGTGGTCGTGTTAACTTACTTGTTTGCGTCTGGCCACCGGATGGGTGTGTGGCTGTGCTGGCCTGGGAGGGTGAGGCCAGCGGCCGTTGTGTGGGGGGCCAGGCTTGGGCCTGTCCCACCTGTGGGCCCAGCGTGTCTTGCATGGGGCCCATGGGGCCACCACTACCCACACTCGTAGTACTACAACCCTGACTAGTGTGATGACCTTGTGGGTCTTGCCCTAATGTCCCTTGCCTGAATATCCCTTGTTTCTTATCCTGATTTCCCCTGGGTTGGCTTATCAAATCTTGCCCACTAAACCTCATACTTTGATTATCTTGCATAATATTAAGTGTATTTTGTGCTCTAACGGGCTGAGGACCCTGGTTGGGGAGAGACATGCCTGGCCCACCTTTGACGGCGGCCTCTGAGAAGGGAGGTCGCTGGAGCTCGCCGCCTGAGGAAGATAAACACAATTGCCAAACTTAGTCATCAACTGTAATGTGCCATCTTAATCATAGACCAACATGGTATTAAAAGTCGTCTACACCTGTAAAACATACATATTAACTTACAACATGATGACGTAGAAGAGTACTGTGTCGTACACATTATTATTACAATCAAAGAGAAGCGCTGAACCGAGGCGTACAAAGAACTGATGTGAAACACATAACCTACAACATTTTACTCCTACTGTACAGAAATCTTGTTATATGTAGCACTGATCAAAAATATAATGTTCAGAAATTGTATTAGATACAGAATGTGAAAAGGGGAAAATAATCTATTCGAATGGCAAACTTCACATACTTCGCCACTACTATGTCCTAACGCAGCTGACTGGCGAAATATTTGGAAGAATTGCGGATTCTATGACAAAATCAAACTCTTTTGTATACATTTGAAAAAAAATGTCAAAATGAAGATTTTTTATGTAGAAAACCCCACATTTTTTTCCCTGTAAAAAAGATGGCGAGTGTTTTGGAAACCACAGAAATTCAGGAATCACATGTGATATGTTTTTAATATTTGCTCCTAAAATCTAGTTAAATGTCACTGAGTTATCATATCATTATGTTAAGTTAAATAATATTTACATTTCTAAAATGGTATCGTTTTCATTACTGAAATAATTTGCTCATGTTAAACGCTTCCTTCACATATCCAACACAACAAGAAATGTGATGCTGTGAGAGTATATTACATATGACATTATACTTCATGGCTACATTATAAAAAGAAACAGCTCCTTGCAAATATTATAAATATCCCTTCTAACCCTAGATTTATGAGCTTTTGTTAATTGTTCCAGTGCACAGTAACTGACGACAGAATGGAACAAATGAATTCTCTTACCATACCATAACTGAGAACCTTAGAGGTATTGACAAAATCGGCTTTCTATCAAATACACTAGAACTATCACAAATGAATTAGACAATGGGCACTCAAGCTGCATTTTGATATCAAAACCTCATGACATGACTCGTGCAATCTTCAGAACAACAAAATGTAACTTAGGTAGGCAGAACAAATGGAAAATACCTATTAAAGACACTTCATAAAACACAAAGGAAAACACTAGGTGACTGGGGCACTATTGGTAATCCCCTTTATGTATCATGCTTAAGGGGGATTACCAACAGATCCTTTACTGTCTTCAAGAGGGAACTGGATAGATACCTAAAGTCAGTCCCCATCAGCCGGGCTGTGGCTCATTTGCTGGATTGCATGCTGCTAGCAGTAACAACCTGGTTGATAAGGCCCTGATCCACTGAGAGATTTGGTCTTTGACCGGGTCGCGGGGTCATTGACCCCCTGAACAATCTGCCTATTCATTTATTTCTTGAGAAACTTCAGCGAATCGCATTAGCTTAATATATTTGAAATACAGGGAAAGCCAAACCATTTGCTAGTTAGCATCACTTTGCTATCCAACTGTCTCATCCACTTTTTCTCCTAACGAGTTTTTAATAGTGGTTAAGTGATCAGTATGACTGGAACCTGAAAGTCTGCCTCTCTGGGCCCCTACCTGGATCGACCGGCAAACCGAAAGGGCAGCCAGTCCCTATGGCTGCTTGTGGCATCTACTCTGTGACCCCACTCAGAGTGGATACCTATCTGGAACGGCTACCAGTTACTATGGTTGTATGCCCATGCCCCGGCGTCGTCCTACACACCCCACTGCTCCCTTACCTCCCCCACCTCTGTACAACCAGCACCACTACCAAAATCATCACCATCACCACCACTACCTCCATTACTACCAGAAACACCAACACTACTTCCATCACTACCACACCATCACCACCACTATTACGTCCATCACTGCCGTAACCACCACCACCACTATCACCAACACTACCACAACCACCATGACCACAGTCAAAACCAATACCACAACCCCTCGCTTCCCTTCCCCTCCTTCAGATAAATTCGTGGTTACCAAGGGTGCAGGGAGTCTTTGATCTGGTCTCCATGTATCTGCCAGTTTATCTGCAATCATTTATCTCTCTCTTCTCCTTCATCCTTCCCCTCTCCATCTTTCCCCTCTCCTCCACAATCTTCAGTTCCTCGAATCAATCCATCCTTCTTCATATAATGCTGTTATGTCCGAGAACATTTTAAAATTCTTTCCGATGTCTTGTATTCAGTATTTTCACATTCTGTTATATTTAACCCATTAATCTCTTAATGTATTTCTAGCTTTCGGTCTCTAGATTTTACAGGATCATTCATTCATACAGAACTTATGTTACAACCTTTCATGTAAAACATACATCACCAGTACCACACTCAGCGTGTTCTTTTTCTAACACTACCAATAAAAACTTTTCCTTACTGAGAATTTCTGCAAAGTTCTTATCTAAGAACCTGCAAAAAATCTCTCCCCTTCAATAAGGATTCAGTCAAGATTTCTCAACAGAAATCTCAGCCACACTGCTGGGCTTTTTTGTGTACTAAAAGATGTGGAAAATATGTGTGAACCTACTGCAATGATTCACATGTTCCGAGAGACAATAAATCTACTGGACAGCTGGAAAAAATGCACATGTGATCCACATATACAAGCAGGGAGGCAGACAAGAGGTAGTGAGTCACAGGTCATTATCTCTGACCTGTATATTAGTTCAACGTGGATCAAGATCATCAGCAAAAAGTTTATTGAGCACTTAGAGATGTTGGACATTATTTTTTACAGAAAATCTTAATAGATTTAAAAAAGATCATTCTTGCTTCACTAATCTTCTGGGGACCGATGGCGGAATAACAAAAATCAAGCAAGAAAGACAAAGTTAGGTTGATTTACAAATTAGAACATGCAAGGACACAGAGTAAAGGGTTAAATCCTACAGTGGATCAAAGAATACCTAGCGAATAAAAGACATATGGTAATGGCATATGTTTCAGGATGGGAAAGAGTAACAAGTGGTATTCCCCAAGGATCAGTATTGAACCATTACTATTCTTAAAATACGTAAATGACCTGCCAGATAATACTGACTCATATATAATTGTTGATATAAAACTAATGAGAATAACGATAAGTAAAGAGAATAGACAGAATACAAGACTACCTAGACAAACTGCAAAAATTATCAAACATTGGTTACTAGAGTTTATTCCAAGGAAGAGCACGATCAGAAAAACTGGGGATGAAGAGTTACAACCAGACACAGAACACGGCTTGAGAGGCGAGAAACTGCAAATATCGCTCAAGGAGAAGGATCTTGGGAAGATCGCAAAATATCTACACCATTTGCGAGGGTAGCTAATCTCGGAGCTGCCTTCAGAACAATCTATAAAGAAATTTTTAGGACTCTCTGCACGGCATAGGTGGAGGCGTGCAGCCCTCACCTGACTAAGCATGGACGAAAACTAGACGAGGTCCAGAGGTTTGAAACGAGAATAGTCCTCAGAGCTGAGGGGATTGACTTATGAAAAGGGACTAAAGGAGCTAAAAATGAGGATTGTTGAAGAAGGATTAGGGAAGATATAAAGGCATAAAAAACACTAAGAGGCTTTAACAGAGAGGATAGGGACAGATTTTCTGATGTGAGAGGCATGTGAGAGAGATCATTGTTGGGAGCTAAAGACACAGATCAGATACAAGGATGTTAAGAAATATGTTTTAGTTCCTTGATGGTAAATAATGGTAATGATCTAGATGAGGCAGTATCAGAGACAAACCGACAATGCCAACGATTGTAGTATAAGGGGCGGGGCCGGGAGCTGGGACTCGACCCCCCACAAGTACAACTCGGTGAGTACAACTCGATGAGAGAGCACACCCACACGCATACACACACAGGTGGGGCCAGGAGCTATGAATCGACCCATACAACCATAACTAGGTGAGTACACACACACAAACACACACACACACACACACACACACACACACACACACACACACACACACACACACACACACACACACACACACACACACACACGCACACATACACACACACACACACATACACACACACACACACACACACACACACACACACACACACACACACACACACACACACACACACACACCACACACACACACACACACACACACGATCAGTGAAGAGGGGGGCCAGGAGCTCGGACTCGACCCCCGCAACCTCAACTAGGTGAGTACACACACACACACACACACACACACATACACAATCTATAAAGAGGTACAGAAGGCAAAGGACCCAGGAAAATAAGATCAGTCGAAGAGCCAGAAACGAGTATGCACAGATAAGGAGGGAGGACCAGCGACAGTATGAAAACAACAGCATCAAAAGTCAATTCTGACCCGAAACCGTTGTATAGCCACATTAGGAGAAAGACAGCAGTCAAATACCAGGTGATCAGGCTGAGGAAAGAAGGTGGAGAACTCACAAGAAACGATCAAGAGGAATGTGAGGAGCTCAACAAGAGATTTAAGGAAGTATTCACAGTGGAGACAGGAAGGACTATGGGAAGATAGGACAGAGGGGGACACCAACAGGGAACATACCAACAAGTGCTGGATGACATACACACAACTGAGGAGGAAGTGAAGAAGCTGCTAAGTGACCTTGATACCTCAAAGGCATTGGGACCGGACAACATCTCCCCGTGGGTCATTAGAGAGGGAGCAGAAATGCTGTGTGTCCCATTAACCACAATCTTCAAGACATCCCTTGAAACTGGGCAACTACCTGAGGTATGAAAGACGGCAAATGTAGTTCCCATTTTTAAAAAAGGAGACAGAAAAGAGGTGCTAAACAACAGACCAGTGTCACTAACGTCTATAGTATGCAAAGTCATGGAGAAGATTGTCAGAAGGAGAGTGGTGGAGCACCTGGAACGGAACAAGAGTATAAACGCCAACCAGCACAGATTCATGGAAGGCAAATCCTGTGTCACAAACCTTCTGGAGTTTTATGATAAAGTAACAGATGTAAGACACGAGAGAGAGGG